TGTTACATATGACGACCTTTCGCACTGTTATAAGCGCCCTATACTTCCAAATAAACTTTATAGCCAGAAATCTATCCACTGATAAAGCCACGACCGTTGAAATTGATATTTTGGTGCTAATATGAGAAGAAACGGTAGAAATATTGTGTAGGCTTGGTAAATTTACTCGACACGGATGGCAAAGCATGTACGTTGAGTACAAAGGTTGCACGAAACTTCCTCCAAGTAAATCACTTAACGCGAGGCTTGCCACGAGAAACGTTGTGGGGCGCACTCGGAAATACATGTACGGATCTTTGAAAAGAGTCCATAGAAGAACACTGTTTGTTGCGAATGAAACGAAGCCAAGCAAAGCACTACAAATTCCTGCCAAAAGCGCGACTGATGCTGTTGGAATTCCTTCAAAATGTCCGTGTTCATCGTGATTTGATTCAGCAGTCTCGGTCATGATTAACACCAATGGACACTGCTCGAGCTTTTATGTAGAAACTCTTGATTTGATGGTTAATATGGCTGAGGATGACTAATGAATCACCTGGTCTCATGAGAGGCAAATTGTTTTGAAGCTGGCTAGTATTTCTTAACTTGCGACACCTTTCCTGAAAGCCAAACTTGGATATCTAATTTGATCGCGCAACACCAAGAACAGTTTTACCGATGCAATATTTCCTACATCCGGTGAAACAGAGCTGAAAACCCTTCTCTCCTGTTCCTATTGTGAAAAATATAAGTTAGTTACTTGGTAAGTGCACGAATTGATGAGGGTTCAATTACAACAATGGTCGGTCTTGACATCCTGCTGATGAATATGAAATCGTTTGCATTAAATATTTGGCCAAAACTTTGTTACCAGGATAAAAATTGACAGTCATAGAAAAACTTTCCTGAATTACTTGAAGAAGAAACTCATTTAAATTGGAGTCATTTTACTTAAGGGATGTGATCACTAAAGCTCCATTGTCCTATCGAGTGCCCGTTGCGAAGCTGACAACTCTTAAAAAATTTGCACACAGAAAATATGAAAACAGCCGATATAATAAAAGGAAATAAACACTAGAATATTTATCCTAGGGCAGAGCTTAGTGTTAATTATAATCTTGGATTAAAAGGATCGCAAAAGGTACGTAAACGGGCGCACCACAGTAGTTTTAGTAACTACTCTCCTCAAACTCAACCTAAAAACAGATTTCGGTACGAGACTATGATATGGCTCTTTCTAAGTTGGTGGTTTTTACAAGCTGACATAACCTTTTTAATATTTATGAAACATTCGCTCATCTTTGTCAATGTTTTTTAATAAAGCTTTTTTAGAGGATTGTGAGGTTAACTCTCAAAAAAAAGACACAACATTCCATAATATTAACTTTCTTGGCTGTAAACTGCGAAAATCTCCTTCAAATCGTCCTTTATTTGGTAAATGTAAGATTATCTCCGGATTTGTGTCCTCATTTTGCGTCATCACAAAATCACTCAGAATTGATCTCCAATAGCAAACAATTGAGAAGAATCTAAAGTTTACAGCAGGCGTTCATTAGCATTTAAATTATCCGATACATAACCTTTATTATTTTCATTGACCGAGCTAAAATTGCTGAAAAAGTGGAAATATTAACCAAACACATGTAACTGCTTCCGTTGAAGCTAAGTGTTACCGCTTCCGAAAAAAGCTGCGAAATATTTTTTTGGTTAGTTTGAAGCCCCCGTGATTAGTTCTTTTAGACAGAAAATTATTGAAAGCGTTTCAGTTGAAGATAAGACCCCGTGTGATCAAGATCGTTTTGAATAGAAGACAAGTTAGACTGTAATTCTCGATAAAGTAATCAAGACCCGCGAACGATGGTAAGCAATGACTTGTTTTGTGATTATGTTATCTAGCTCGTAGTCGTTACTCAAAGTAAAATTTATCGCTCGTTTTTACCTTTCCTTTGGTTCCTTTAATTGCCACGTGCTCGTTTCAAAAACCGAGATTATTCTTAAGCTTTGATCACAATACTTAGGTGATTTCTTCACGTAATAATTTTAGTTGACCGCTTCGATATAATAACGCCCCAAGGAATAGGAAAAGGAATAAAGAAAGAAAAGACCCTATTTGGTTTGGTGTTTATCGCATGCGCGTGTATCAACCCGGGAATCGAATTTACAACTCTAGGTTGAAAAGAAACTTTTACAACACACGCATACTATTTAATCAACGATGGAAGGAGGAAAATAAATATAACTTTCGACATAACTTGTGAGAGGTTTTTGTTTGCCAGTTATACCTTTCTCCCTTCCTTGTCACTTGAATGTTTCATGGAGATTTAAACTATAGCAGCAAATTTTAATTTTTATGCCAATAACTTTCTGCTTCTGACTGTTCAAAATAAGAGGAAATAAGTACTAAAAGGTTCTTTTTTCCTGTCTTCTATGCTATTCAAAACCTTCTTCCAAAGTGGGGATAACTATAGCAGCCACGACTCCGTTGTGCCGGCTTCGATTTAGAACTGAGCTTCATGCATATGCACGACGTGTATATCATAACAATTTTTGAAATAACATTGTTTTTGTTTTCGGCAGGAAGTGATCAACTGATGTTTTAATCCTGGTTGATACGTCTTTCATTACTTTGTTAAAGCTGGATCTGCTAACGACATAACGATCATATCATAATTATATGGGGTGTTTACTTCGTGTGGAAAGAACACCGAGATACAATACGAACAGACCATACTCTGAGAAAATAACCAAATATTTTGTTATGACTATGATTACCTGTGTAATAATGCATCTAGGAGAGGAAAATCAAGCGTACGTCGAAGCGGTCGTACGGACATATTCATTCTTTATATTTTGGCCATTATTTTCGATTCCAGTAATCTGCAGCTGATGAAATCCTCGGCTAGATCTTGAGTAACTGAGGTGCTTTTTCATGCCTCAGATGTGTCCTCGATGGTTTTATGACTATGATAGTTTGCCGCGAGTGGAAACTAAAGCCCAGTAACACCAACTAATGTTTGCTTTACTGCTTAAGACGATTCGAATAACAACAAAATAGAGCTAAAAATTCAAGTAAAATCAGGGTTTCAGAAAATCAACATTCCTTTGTTTTCAGACTTCTTACCAAATCGCTTCGTCATTTACAAAAACGAAGATAATAGTTTCTGTGTACTTTCAGTTCGCTGAAATTTTCATGTTTTGAGTTTAAAAAACTGACCCTCGTCCGCTGTTCATCGTCTTAAACAGGCGTTGCAGGTGCCACCAATATGTGAAGCGTTTAACACTATGGATGTTAATTTGCATCAGAATTGCTACATTTTTAAAATCATGATATCTTCACCACACGGATCTTCACTGACATGTAAGGAAAAAACATCGAGGCGGTGTTGTATTGAGTTTATCGATATAGTGATTTTAATCCATGAGGGGCTTTTCCCCTTAATGAACTTCATTTAGGTTTGAACTTTTTTTGTAAGGAAAACAGTATAAAGAGAATTAATGTTATGTAAGAAGTTGTGGTACCATTTCCGTGATCAGCGTTTACGTGCAAGCAACTCAGTATTTGATGTTCTTAAAACGTGTGTTAAATCGTGTTTGATTTAAACATAAATATATAAATTTAAATAAATATCGGATAGTTGGAAGAAAATTGCATGCTCGCTGATTAATATCTGGACAGTTAAAAGAAAATTGCAGTTTGGTGACTCATATCAAAACAGTGAAATGAAAATTGCATGTTCGCAGATTCATAGACAGTTAAAAGAAAATTGCAGGTTCGCTGGTTCATATCTAAACACTAGACAGCTGAAAGCAAATTGCATGTTTGCTTGTAAATTCGAATTTATCAACACTTGAAGTTAACGCTCATCTTCAAGCTTGGCCATATGATGTCCCCTATTCAAGAAAGGTCCCATCTATACCAGCAATGTTTTCTCCAAAAACTGGTCGGAGGTGGGGTGGGGGGTGTGTGTATCATTCAACAATACCTCAAAATGGAGACATAGGGATATTTACCTCACCGGTTTCTCGTTCATTTTCTTCAAAAGTCATCTTTCTCTCAATTTATCATAAAACTGATTTGTCCTGTATGTTTGGAGCCATTCTAGTTTTTCAATTACAGAACAGGTGGCCATGAACAACAGTGCAGGTTTTTGCAAGCTTTGCAGAAAGATGGGTCTTCATATTCGATCTTAAAGTGACTTTAATTCGGTTTCGTTCAGGACACTTGAAAATGAATTAGGGCTGTTTCTAGGAGCTTGTGATGTTACTATGAAAAATTCTTGCATTTGAGAAATGCCTAGTATTTGAAACGAAAGTTTATGATGGCGTTGTCGGTGTAGCAAACGGAAAATCATGGTTATCAAATGATGAGCTGTAAAATATAAGGAAATTGTTTTGAGCCCCGTATCGATCCAAATTGTGAACCTGTGTACTATAAGCGGCACTGACCATCACCTCTACATATCGGATGACGAAGCCTTGTCTTAATAGGTGTGGTTCACTTAATACGCTATGAATTCCCCTTAACCAAATCAAGTTCTTTGCAGTGATTTTTGTCCCAAAATGTCCTCATATCTTTGTAAACCCTTGGAAAGGCGTACAGAGTTTGGTTGTGAAGTTGATTACACAGTACACAAGCACGGTTCGTCGCTACACGTTTATGAAATTTCTTCCAAGCAAAGTATTCGCTGTACGCGGTGTCATTTGCATCGAGGTAAAGCAAATAGTCAGCAAGATGTTTGGGAGAATCAAAATCTTGAACATCAATGTAGGAATATGGAATAGCGAGTTCCTTGTAATTGGCTCCCCCCATAACGATGGGTATAATATCATTGTCAATCGCGTTTTCCCAATATTTTTCAGTCATGTAATCAGGACAGTTACCGTTTTCGAACGCCAAGTAAAACTTGTGTTGCTTTAGCAACGCATTGCAGACAGGCCAACGACGTTTCCGAGGACAACGTAACCGGCCGCATAATCCATATATGGAAACGTGGATGTAGTTTTGTAATTCCATGACGTAGAGATATCGTTCAGTTGCCTGGCAGTTACTGACCAACCAAGCAACTTGTTTACTCTTTCCAGCTGTTTCATTACCTGTGAGATATTTTTCAGAGGGCTTCTCTAAAGTTATATACTTTCCGTAGGGTGTATAAACCTCTGAGTCTCGGCTGTAAGACATCGTCCAGTTAAAAACACCAGCAAACCCATGAGCATCCATGGGCACGTGCAGCGGATTTTCCAGAACAAAATAGAACCATATCTGTTCCGAAGACATGCGACTTGGAAGAAATTCAGGCATGTCGCGTGCGTGAAAACCAACAGCATCCGCTTCTAATATCCTACTCCTGTTATACGTCACCAGACAACTAGAAACCTCGCAATTCATAAAAGTCGTGTGTCCCTCTTCAAAGGGCGAACGATTGGGTCCTAAGGAATGATCATTCGCCCACTTTTGTCCAAAAAAAGACGTGTAAAGCAATATCAGCTTCTTCCTGGATTCTTCTCCTTGATCAGCCTCCCTCACGCCTCGATGTGCAACAGTTAAATTTACAAAATACTTCTCTTGTAAAAATAACATGTTTTTAAACACTGCGATATAGAAGACAAAACTAATTACGATAAATAGGAGAAGTATTTGAAGACCTGAATTTTGTCGAGAGAACATATTTCGCAAAAGTCTCAACTTCGCAGAGCCCATCTTGGAAGCGGAAAAGACTAAGCGTCAAGTACACAATGGGATTATACGCTTTGTAAATGGTACCCTTAAAAGCTGCTTACTCGAGCGAAAACGACAACGTCAAAATGGCAGCAGGTTCACAGCACCAGCAACAGGTTATAACCATCGGCCATCACACCATCGACAAAGAAATCCAACCAAAATACCAAAATTTAGAATTTGGCACCTGGTAGTGAACACTATTCGCTTCCTTTTATTTCTTAATTCTGTAATTTAATCTAGTTTCACATACTCTGGGCAAGGAGAACGATTTCCAAATCAGTGGTGGAACTGTCATCAAGGGTAATTTAAATTTGACGGATGTATCTATTGATCTAAGCAACAAGTAAACACTTAACAAAGAGATTTTTAATTTGCTTATAATCTGGAAGAAAAAAACAAGCACTATTCAATTGCAGAAAACAAATACATTTCCTGCTCCCCATTTAGACCTAGAACCATGTTGGACATAACAAAGGATTCATGTCTGCCTTTAGGGCTCCATGCCAAATCGCTGATGAGTAAGGATACGCTTAACCTTTGACACTGGTTGACCGACTCGATTCTCAAGTAAGAGTTCTCTAGAACTCTCCATCAAGAGCTGTCATACGACCGAAACCACGTCTTCATTTTAGCTGAAGTTGCAGTAGGAGATGAAAGCAAGTGCATGGAAAGTTGGCAAAAAAAATAAATAAAAGTTTATTTGGGTTCTTCGAAGCACAGTTGAACTAACTCTGGGCGGGTTTTTGTAATGTTTTGACTAAGCGAATTGTTAGGCCTTGCCGAAAGTTCCACAAATTACACCTCAGTTGTATTCTTTAAAATTTTTTTGCGTTAACTGGAAGATAAAAGCCGAAAATCACTCTCCTTAGATAAACGTTTATAAATCCTGGACAGATTTGATCGCTGTTCTGTAATCCATGCATCCACACCACGAATCTTTTATTTCCTTTTCTTTGATTGAAGTTAGTCGTAAATATGGGAGCACTTGTAAATGGCTAACACAAGAAGACTTAGAAAAAATATGGGCCGCGTGTTAAAGAAGTCACGAGTGCGGAATACTTAGTCATTCGCGAAAGAAACGTCTGTGAGATAGTTCAGTGGTTGCATAAAGGTGATTGAAGATAAAAAAAAAAACCAATATCCATGCTGACCTGCAGTTGTCTGGTTAGTATTTAAACTCGAACAATAAATCCTGTGGTAAGTACTGTGTCCTATTAAGCGGCCGGTTGCGCACTCCAGAATCACCGTCACGTCGTTGGAGTGAAGACTGAGCTTTGTATGTAACAACTACTTCACTTTCCGTCTTCGCATTCAAGAGTAGCGAATGTTTTGAACGTTAAACGTTACGAGATAGGTAATAGGGATTTCCAGCCATGTTTTTGAGAGGTTTTAAAATATTTTTGAAGTTTTTAAAGAAATTATAATCTTTCTCGTGTATGCTGGAGATGAGACAGTTGTACTATCGAACTGAAACCATGCTCTCTATAACATTATACCCTTGTTCTTTCCGGATCCCTTTGTCACAAGAAGTTCGAAGCAATCTGGAGTGCTCGAGCTATTCTTTGATCGGCTTCATAAAGAAAATGGTGGAAACTCAAAGGGAGATTTCACCATTGGATCGCTACGATAGAAAACAGCTGGCGCATGCGAAAAATGACTTGATACAGTTTACAACGACGAAGTACCCAATGAGGAAATAATTTATTACTGAGCGCAAAATAGAATGTGTAAAATAACCCATTTTATAAATTCTACATTTTTTTCAATAAATAGTTATTTAGACGTTTCATTTTTTGTACCACCAATTTCGTCACGTGCAAGTTAGCAGGAAATAACGAGGCAAACTCATCCATAATCAGATTTTATCCAAAGTACTCTGGCAAATTCTTGATTCTCTCCTTTTAAAGCCTAAGCAAGGTGAAAAGAAAACCAAGCTTTAATTTTACGAAGAACTAACCTTTCAAAAATATTCTACACAGGGATATCGGCCAAAGCTGTCAAGTGTCATCCTATTTTAAAAAAATCTCATTCATTCACGTCAATGTCCTTTGAAATATGCATAATTTATGCAGCCATTATGGTACACGCTTTGCTTCGGTCAATATTTGCTGATCAAATTTATGATGTATGTTTGAAAAAGTCTTGAATACGAATCACTCAGTTGTTCAGATATGTAGCTGTTCTGCCAGAACTAATGTGGCATGCTCTTTCGGCTGCTTGTGGCCAAGATGAATGAAGTTATACCAAAGAAGACCCATAGATGCAAGGGCTTTTAACTAATTATCACAGTGAGTAATTATACTAGATTATCACTCAAAAAAGGGAAAAAAAAAACAACAGCAACAAGAACAAAAACCAGCTAGAGTGTACTACTGTCTATAATATTACGAAAGCATTGGCTCGTAAATGATCAAATTAAAAATGGTGTAACATGGACTTTTCAAGGATAAACTCGTTTCAACGACTTAGACCTCGACCGCTAATTTCCCCGCACCACTTGGGCTCCGTTTTTATCACATAGGTTACCCGGTTCAGCTCCAAGGAAATGTCAGGCAAGTTTTTAGCATTATTAAAAATAACTTTGCTTTTCACCTCGAACTACGGCGTATTTATCAATTACTCTAAAATCAAATGAAATATAACTACCTCAAGTTTCTTAACAATGCGAGAGTATTTTCTTCTGGTGGCGTCATCGTCCACGTCTATAAAGTAATCTGATATCCCAATGTGCACTTCGATGCGCTCTAACCTTGGGCAAGCACCTAACAGAAATCACACCATTTTAGGAAGAGAATTGTGCGATTTTTGAGTTTACAAAATCAGGCGTTTTAGCAAAATAACGAAAAAAAAAATCAGATAAATATTCAACTACTGTTACCGAGTAATTCCTTAATGGCTCCGGGAGAGACTGGGGTAAATGTGAAGGATATAGTCTCCAGGCCTCGTAGTCCACAGAGACACATGGCGTGGGCAATTTCTTCGTTGATTGCAATTGTCCGATCAAGTTCCAGCTCTTGGAGCCTCAGGCAACCTTTGGCTAATAGATGACACAGAGAGGTGAGATTTTTATTCCTCACATCATATTCGCTGGACGAATTCATCACAAAAAGTGTTCAGAATGAACTAAGTTTATTGTGTTTACCAATATAAGTAAGTCCCGCAGACGAGAGACTGGGTCCGCCTACCGACAAATGGCGCATATTTGGCCAGCAGTTTGCTATCGTTTCCACGCTCTTGTCGTTGAATCGTCCAGGATGGTCACTAGAGGAAAAAGTAGTTTGTGTTGGACAGATATCATGTTACATAATCACCTGGAGTAGCCAGACAAAACATGAGATATTCACGACAAGCTTACCACGGAAACATCGGTGGTACTCTGAGAGTGACAAGCTGTCTACACGCCCATAAAGCCCACAGTGCCTCAGGACAAGCGGGATATGAATCACTAATGTATATAAATGCTTGTAGCTCTTTACAGTGAGAGCCTGCCAAAGCTAAACACCTAAAATAAAATCAAAGCAAACAGCGAATACTGTTATTTGTTTGTTTGTGCTAGTTTTCTTCATAACAAATTTAGCATTTAACAGAAGTCAGGCTCTGACAGGTCCAACGAAACCTGAATCCTTAGCGCGGCGTGCCACTTTAATTTGGATATCTCTCACTGTTTTTCTCTGTTTAGTACCTGTACTTCGCAGTAATGTTCTACTTAGTTCACTGATCTCTAATCTTAACACCAGAACGTACTAAGCAAAGCTTCCACGTTCCTACTTCGTTACGGTCAAACGCATTCTGCGCGAGTACCTGTCTGATATCAATGGGCCGCAGTCTTCGACGTGCAGGCTCAACAAGCTTGAACCAGCAGCCTTCAAAATATACTCCATCCCCCTCTCTAGATAACACCTTAAAAATTGAGCATGTGGAATTTTAGTAAAAATTTGAAGAAATAAGCTAAATCAACGCAAATGGGGCGAATAAACAACGTTGGCATAAAAATCACACAATCGATGGTAAAAACATTATCATGCTGTGTCCACGCATTACCATTGCCTGATGTTATCCGTTCCGGAATAAAAAGTCCACGCATTTATCTCTCTTTTTATAGAATTCAGGATGATTTTCATGAACATGAGAAAAATGACTCTTTTCTCCTCACTCAAACAACTATGTGCAGAATATCCCCGCTGTCACTTTTTTCTACGTTTTGTAAGACGTGCAATGTAACCTCATATTTCTTGATAGGAGTTGTAATGGGATAAAGGTAAAGGTAAAGGTTTGAATGAAATTAATGAAATGGATGACAGAAAGAATAAGCTAACGGAATGATAGTTAATGAACTTTTCTTAAAGGTCTCACCGCAAATCCTCAGATGTCTTTGAAGAATTGCATTTGTCTTTTGATCTTATTTTCCTCAGCCCTAGAAGTTCACAACACGTCCTCACTTAAAAAATCGTTTGAACGATTAAATAAAAGGACTTGAATGAATGGCAAAAATTCTGCCTAATTATCAACGACTAGACGTTAGTTTCTTAGTCAAATACAGCCATTTCACTGGTGATTCCTGTAGTCTGATTGGCTCTCATCGGTGCGATTTATTTCCCAGCCAATTAAGCGGCTTTACTAAAACACAACAACCAATCAGATTTCAAGATTTTTTAGAAGAAACCAATCAATTGCAGGAAAATTTAAGATAAATTATGCAACTTTTCACAAAACAGCTCTATAGGAAAGAAATCCTGTATTTGAGCGGCTGAATTTTGCGATTTCTATATGGATGTAGTAAAAAGTTAATTGAACTTCGTGTCGTACAATTTTGGTCTGCGCGCTCGTTCGGTTTTAAAATCACGCGTATGATTTCAGACTAAACTGCACTCCACTCAGTTTAATTAGCATTAAAATAAAAAATGGCTAAACTCAAGGTAAGTGGTTGCCAAAATCAACAATTCCACATATTAGTACTGGTTATGGCCTAAAACCTCCCCTCTCAGCCATTCCCTCCACTCATTCCCCTCTCAGCCATTCCCTCCTCCCATTCATTTATGGTTTCAGCGAGTCATAAAGAGTGCACCAATTGATAGTTCCCTTATGAGACGTGGAAAAGGGTTGATATTCTTGGAAACCCAACGTCAGCTTGTTGTTGATCAATCTCATGGAGTAATATTGTAACGATCCACCACGTTTCAAGTCCACGAGATGTACCAGAGCATTTCAAATGTTAGAAAACAGAAGTAAGAAGAAAGTATGATTTAAAACCCTAAGCAACTTGAGCTTGTATTACATGGAAAAACCACAAGCTCATCAGGAATCTATAGAATGTACAAAACAATATACACGAGTTACATCTACATATTTCGTTCACATTTACTGAACATTTTACTTTGTTCCCAACTTATTTCAGAGACGCAACTTTTCCCTCCCCTACATGAAACTCCCTGACTTTCGCTGAACTCGTTAAAGTTTTTGCCCTGACCATTTCTTGACCTGTGGTAACCATTTGTTCTTGTACTTAACTACAGCACGAAGAAACAAAAGAGTTTTGATGATTGTTTGATCTTCAAAATACAATAACCTGGCGATAAGCTCGATTATCAGACCGGACACAAGAGCCTAACCTGGCAACAGCAATAATTATTTTAAAGCTGTCAGAGTCAATTTGAAAATAAACAATAGCGTGTGG